TATGGGATTTCAATATATCTTCTGATTCACTTTTGTTTTTTGAGGAGCAGCAGAACAGAGGACTTGCTGTCCCTGGCAGGGCTTCAAGTGAAAGATAAAGCAACTATGTTTTTCCAAAAGGTTCATAGGATCTTTAAAAATAATATTTTCTTAACAAGAAAAAATAAAAGTCTGCAGTATCAGATACAACATGAAATCAACACAGCTTACTGGAAAAAAAAATGATGACATATTGGGTTATTGAGAAACAAACACCTTTTTTTTTCACCACAAATAAAGATCATTTTACTTGGGTATCTGCACCTGAGTGGAAGTGCTGTGAGTGGGCCTCTGAGCCTTGCTGTGTGCTCCTCAGCTCTTTGGTACTTTTTTTCAGTGACATTCCAGTGTAAGAAAGCATAAGCAAATTCTTTATCGGGGACCAGAAACCAAAACCCATCCTCAAACCAGAGACTCTAATGTAAGCTAGACCACAGAATCAGACTTGGCTTTTCTTAGGCTGTTTCACTCACTTGCCCCATAGAGATGAGGTATGGCAAGAAATAAAAGCAGTTTGATCCCAACTCAGTCTCAGCTGCCTCTTGGAATATGGAAGCAACACATCAAGTCCCCTCAGGCTGACTCTCAAAATGATTTCCATCTCCCTGTGTGAATGCTGTATTTAAGAAATTATTTCGCAGAGATGAGGAGTAATAGAAGTATTATATCACACGCAATCATGGTGGGATTTTGGATTGAAATGTCTAAGGGATTTAATATGAAATCTAAATGTACCAGGCCAGTCTGGGGTCTGAAGTGGACTTCTGGAGTTTTTGCTCAGGTGCCTAGGGAGCTCACTAGTCAAAGTGGAGAAATCAATTACTTTCAGGTACTTTCAAAGCTGAGAAGATGTCCAAGAATAGCTTCTCCAAACTCCTTTTCAAAGATTAGACTCCTAGTTTCTATTTCAGGTCAAACTGAGGCAGAATTCAATTAAGAACAATCAATCCCCAAATTTTTATTTTTATTTTTTAATTTCTGTCTATTCTTATACTCTGCCCTTCAAAAAGAATTGTTCAGAATACAGGGAAAACAATGAAAGTATTTTTCCAGTAACCAGAAGGAAATGAAGAGACCTGAATGTGGCCAGTAGATATCTTGGAGACATTATGAAGGCTCATCAAGGCTATGAGAACAGCAAATGTCCAGTGCAGGACACCTTGGTGAGACTGCCACATCTGTTGTCACCATTTTATACTGGGTGACAGACTGAAGCTCCCTCCTAGGCACTGACTTGGCCCAGGTGATGGACTCCTGGCCTAGGAGTCATGACATATATGCAGGTCTTGGCTGCGCTCTGACAATCAGACTGCAGTGCCTTGTACCCCTCATGCCACTCCTGCCTGACTCCCCGGCCTGCTGGTAGCTCAGCCAGCTCCAGTGCCACCCAGTCAGGGCAGAGAAGAAAGTCTTGGTTACTGTCTCTGAGTGCTGCTTTGCATATGGCCAACTTTGATAAACAGGCTTCATTAAAATTGATGTATTTAAAAGGCTTCTGCAGTTGTTCAAAAGAGGCAAGATGTTTTGTGTGAAATGAGAGCAGATCGTTTAACGTAGATTTTTATCCACAGTTTAAGTGGAGCTTTCAAAAAATGAAAGAGACACCTTTAAATAAGTGTTAGTTATTTCACAGAATCACAGAATATGCTGATCTGGAAGACACCCACAATGGTCATCGAGTCCAACCTTTAGCCCTGCACAGGACCATCTCCAAGAATCGCACCATGTCCTTGAGAGTATCATCCAAAAGCTTCTTGGACTCTGTCAGGCTTGGTGCTGTGACCACTGCCCTGGGGAGCCTGTTCCAGTGCCCAGCCACTCTCTGGGTGAAGAACATTTTCCTAATATTCAATCTAAACTTACCCTGACGCAACTTCAGGCCTTTCCCTCAGGTCCAGTCACTAGTCACCGCAGAGGAGTTTCTACTGACCTCTGGATATTTCAGTCCCTGCTTTGAAAAAAATAATAATAATTATTTTTTATGATTTTTTTTTCTCAAGTGGCTTTTTACTTAAGCAGATGTTTTCCTTTGTAAAAGGGAATTTTTTTTATTTTCAATAAAGTGACAGGCTGTAGTGAAGAGAACATGCAAATCTAAAATCATTTATCTCCTCTTGCAAACACAAAAATCTTTTGTTCTTAAACAGAAATTAAAGAGGGTAGAGAAGAAATCCCAACACCCTGACTTGAAAGAAAATGTAACGATATTTATCAAGCTCTCCCTCTCTTTCCTTAGTATTTAGAAGGCTCAATTATATTTTCTTTTTGGCATTAAGGTTGTTAATTATGCAGTTGCCTGTTTATTTTGAATAACTGAAAGACTGTGCCAGAAAAAGGATCAGAGAGTAAAAGAGAGAGGGGGAGAAGGAAAAGATAAAAACTCATTACCTCTTGCAAACTTCTAATCATTGTAAATGGCCACAGAGGCCAGAGGAGACTGCAGAAATTACTATCAAGTGTGAAATAATAAAAATACCCTAGACTATTTTACTGGGAGGGAAAAAAAAAGGAAAAAAGTAAAGAAATCTCCTTGATACTAAAGCAACTAAACTGGAAAGAGTAATAGAAAGGAAGCACAGTAAGGGGTCCTGGCAAGCCCTGTAAGCAAGAAAATAAACAAAGGGAGGTAGGAAATGGGGAAAGAAATAGATTTTATCATTATGTGCAGAATATATTGGCAGAATCCCTCACTATATCAGAGGGTGCTCTTGGCGTTTTATTAGCAGGGCTCCATGAAACCTTGCTGTTATTCTGTTTTTCATGTCATTTCCTCGTCCATTCCTACACTCCTTCCTTCTTTGACTGTGAGCTACAATGAGGACAGCAGCTCTGCTTCCCAAACCCAGCAGCCCCAAGACCCTCAACTGAGCCAAATGGGCAGACAGCACCTTGAAGGCGACAGCAGTGACTTTCGGCTCTGGTGTTGACCTCCAGCTCCAACCCTTTGCCCACGGCTGTGCTCTTGAGGGTGGATCAATATGAAGGATTACAAAAGAGGCTTGGCTGGATGCAGATAGAAAGCTCCAGGCACTGAAAGTAATATCAAAGTAGCAGCCTTTGCAGGCCTGGCTTCATGAATTCTTCACAGCCCTGGCCCCAGTGGTCCCTGAGCCATTTAAAGGGTTTATTGCTTGCTCGGCAGCCCAGGCTAAAGCCGTGTTGCTACCAAATGAATTCTGTGCTAAATATTAGCACTGTAGCTAAGAAAGCTCTCCCTCTCCACCTTTACCTCTATCAATATTAAAGAAGATAAAAATAAGCCACCGAGGGGGAATATTGCTCCTAGAGTACAACAGAGGCCTGCTGAATCAGAAGAGCATAATATAAGAACTTATATTTCAGAAGAAAAAAAAAAGAAGTATTTGTGTAAACAAAAGAAAAAGGAGCTTCATTTTGCTAAAGAATAGTTTAGAAAAAGAGCCTTAGACTGCAGAAAATTTGTGTCCTGCAGCCTGGGCTCTTTTCCTTGGTATTGTTTACGTATTTTTATATTTAGAATGAACTTTCATTCAGGACTTTCTTTTGATTGGATTCTGTTTTAGAAACACTAAGCTGATATAAAATCATGCAAACAATACCTGATGTCCTCAAAAATACAATAGAAACATTTTCAATATCTAAAAAAACCCCCTGAAAATCTACATTAATATTTATTTTAACAATCATCTAAATTTCCAGAGGATTCCTACAGTTCCATATCCAAACCCTCACATGTACAGATATTGTTTATGTGTACAAAAAATTAGAAATAGGCAGTTGTCTGGGCACAGTGGAAAGATATATTAATATTTAGGTTTTATGAAAATGTATTTGAAAAAGGAATTTGTTTATTCAAAAAAGTGTTACATATTTTGACATGAAGTTCCATCCCAACTAGTGTCTAACTTTGACTCAGCTTAAGGCAGAAAAGGGTTACACAAGACTGAGCTCAGTCTCTGTTTAGGGTCTTTGTTACCATCCTAATGGTGCCAAACCATGCTGAGTGTGGATAACTCTCTGTCTGTCTGAAATCCTGGTTGTGCAAAGCACTACTGTGGCCAAACCGAAAGTCTCTTTAACTCCTTCCCCCTGCCATCCTGAAAGCAGTTTGATTGCTATGCCCCTCGTGGTTGGTAGGGCTGGCACTCAGAGCCTGGGGTGGATGGGTGAGTAGTTTCTTGAGGGTGAGCAGAGTGTGTCATTAGTTCTTCAGGGTGTTACTTTGAATGGGTGTGTGGGGGATGGGTCCTACATGAGACTAATTTCTTCTGTGAAGAGGTTTTCTAAAGAATTTTTGGTTCTGTAAGACAGGAATAGAGGAAATACACTTATCTTGTCTATTTAGCATGGAAAACTAGGATTTCTAAGTTGCAAGTTAGCAGAAGAGCTTTCTCCTACAGTTCTTTCCCTTTCCCTCTGTTCTGTGCAGTGATGAGCACTTTCCACCGCTGACATCACACTGGGCTTTAGCCATGTTCAACAGCTCAGCATGGTGAAGTTTCTTCAGAGAAAACATGAAAGATGGACACTTGCAGAGGGCATCTGTGAACATCATGTTTTCTGTACATGCAGCAAGCTAAAGTTAAGTAAGCACACATTGTGCATATGTTTTATGTTACCATTTCATAAAATAAAAGGCTCCTGTCTGCTGATAGCATGTACATGTTACTGGGTACAGGATCTATGTCCAGCACCAGAATTTTCCCAATTTTCTTGTGAAATGTGGATGAGAAATATATTGTGTGAACACTTCTTTCTGCATCACCTGGTTTAGCATAATGCTAGTTATAATTGTGATATCTCTTGGGAAAAGGCTAAGAAAAATTAAATGGAGGCATTATTAAAGTAAGGCATTATTAGAGAAATTCATGCAAAATTTAGATTTGCATGAATTTGCTAGCTTTTGCTTGTGGGAAAAGCACATATAACCTATAAATCTGTGCATGTGTGTGATTTGGTGTTACTTTTTCTACCAGAGGCCAGTTGTTCATTATTCTTTCAAGAACCAGCTGATGTATTTTTATAATAAGAAAGAATCAGAAAGGAGGCAGTTCTGAGGAAGCCCTTACTGGTCAGGCCAGGCTCTGCACTCCCACTCCAGGGACTGTTGGATCTGCATTGCCATTCTAGGACTTGGGGTAAGTGCTTCCATATCAGCTCACATATATGTTGATCTAATGAAAACCATAAGAGGTTCATTTCTCAACTGATGTTCAGTTTTAGGTTAATTTTATCAAATGTTGGACCTGACACTTTCCTTTGGCTGATTTTGCTTTTTCTTAACCCAAACCTACAGACTGTTCTGCTTATCAAAGCAACAGCACATCAGAAAGCTCCCTGGACATGTACATACCCACGTCAGGAATGCTAACAGCATACTTACCTAATCCTGCTGTGCATTTTCTAGCCCACATTTCTTTCCTCTCCCTTCCTTTTTACTTCTACTTTCTCACTCTGCTGTCCTTATTATGTTTGTGGTTCATTTCAGAAATGTGTCTGAAATGGAACACTTTTGCCAGTCCAAAGAAACAAACAATAAGGAAATGGAAGTACAAATCCATTGTAATTTTCTTGTTGTTCAACCCTTGATTGTGACTCCATGGCCTGTCATTGTCTTTCCTGGGAAAAGGTGAAAAAAAAACGTATTAGAACATGAGTATATGCCATCAACCCATTGCAAATTTTTTTTTTTTTTAATCTGACTGAGCTAACTTAGCTAGTTTTTTGTTTATTGCTGGTACAGATTTACATTTACATCTTGATCTCTCTCCTGCTTCTGCTCTCATGTGACCTGTGCACTGGTTATTATGTGCTGAGCAGAGCATCCCAACCAAAGGACAAGAACAATGCTTCATGGCAGCAGTGAGCAACCAAATAGCTCTTGGCAAAATCCTCTGCTCTCCCTAGCAGGAAAATGTCAGGTAGCTACAGTCCCAATGGCAGTGATGAATGGGCTGTTTTCCAGTGTGCTGGAAATGAGGTGCCATGGCTTTGTTTTGGAGGGGTGAGACACAGGTCCCATGCAGCTGATCATCTCAGAGTCACCAAGCATATTTAACTGGTAATGTATTAAGATGTAGATAAAATATACACCAAGTAGTTCACATTTACTGTTTTATTTTAATAAGCACACAGCTCATTACAGATCACTTTGGATATGACTGATGCTTTCCATGACAGTAATCTTTCTTTATTTTACATAACTCAAGTTTCAAGATATTTTTCTAAAATTCTGTTTCCCAAGAGAAGTCTTGCTGAAAAGATGTGCAGCTTTGCCAGAGACCTGCATTATGTAAATCTTAAACTGAAAATTCAGCCTCAACATTTCAAATCTAATACCTAATATCCTTAAAAAGAAAGAAAAAAAATGTAGGTGGCTTTCAAGAAGTTTCCATTCTGGTATGGTGCAGAGAACTACAAAGAAGCAGTACAACCTTCTTTTAACCCTTCAAGAAAGTAGCCCTTTTCTTTCCAGACTGTAAACTTTCCACCAGTAGTAATAATCTCTACTATGTTTGCTTTAGAACATGTAAGAGTTGAGCACAAATATTATGTTAGTAGAAGTGCAGTAGTGTGTTCCTTGGCACAGATAGCCAGATATTTATTTGAAGAGCTTAAGGCAGTGTTAGATGGCTGGTGTCCGTCCCAGGACTCTGTGCCCGCCACATGTATATAAGGGTGGTGGTAAGTCACAGCACTGTCAGGTTGCTCATTGTGGTGCCCTGAGACCCAGTGTGACAGTGGGTGAAAGTGCTGGGCTCAGAGTGCAGCAGAGCACTGTGCTCCCTGTGCCATTTCCTTATGACACCTCCTCTGTGCAGGATGCTGTAACTGAGGTTGTAACATCAGCTGGAAAACTGTCTTCTTTCTTCCTCTCTCCAGAGGGTCCTGTGTATGGACTCTGGTCAGATCCTTACTACCCCCTCATTACATGTCTCTTTAATTTCATATTCAGCCACCCTTGTGCACAGTGTTGTTTTCAACAAGGCAGACTAAACTTGGCTCTCTGCACTGTGAAAACCAGGGCTTTTTAGTCATCTGGAGAAACTGAGCAATGCCTGAGCTCTCCCACTCTAACTGGCATATAGAGAAATGGAAATTGTGATCTGCTATCAAACTCTTTTGTGTCAAAGGACAGTTAATGCAGTACCATGAGTTTGCCAGGCAATTGGCCTTGGTGGGAAAGGAAAAGGCAAAATATGAACTTGTTCAATTTCCAAGACTCTTTGGGAACCCACTGAACGAGTTGTAAGAGCTCCAGTAAATCTCAATTATTATTTGATCTAATTATTCTGATAAACAATGGAAGATTCAGGGTCCAATGGCAACAAAAGATGGATGGATGAATCCCAAAAAGATGAAGTGAAACAGGGATAAATAATGTAGTCATAAAACTACATAATATTACCATCCTATATATAGAAGTTTTTCAGCAGCTAGCCAAAGACAAAACGTGTTCTTGATAGACTTCATAGCTTAAAAATTAGAGAAACTCTACAGAAAGGGTTTTGCTGTGGGGAGAATGGGAAGGTTAGGCTTTTTCACCTAATGGTCATTTAGGTAACTGGCATTTTGACTGCTTATCAGAAAACAGGTTATGAAAACAGCTGAACCAGAAATTATAGAGTTCAGATACTTCAGTCAAACTCTACCAAGCCTTTATCCTGGCAGCTTCACTAGAGAACTAAACATCTGTCACTTCTATAGGATATGTTGGTAATGTTTATTGTTATCCTGCTCCATTTTAAAACCAAATATGTATCAGGCCACTTTCTAATAGTACCTTCTTTTGAAGATGGTTTCTTCCACACAATTTTCAAACACTGACTTCAAGTCAGCCCGGAGATTTTGCCGTGTGTTCAGATGATTTTTAAGAGAAGATGTTTGTTTGCAAGGGAGTAGCTTAGTCCTCAGTGGAGTTACTCCAATAGGTTATAACACATCTTTGTGAGGTATGATCATACAACGCAACCTTGGGTGCAATGTGCTGTGCTGCAGCATGATGTGTATGAGAAGGGTCAAACATTACAGACCCCATGTTCTTTCTTTTTCCTTTATTCTCTTTCATACCGTAGGACTCTCTATGCCTGTTCCATTTCACCCCCTTTCACTAGTTTAGCAAGCAGTCAGAGAAGATCAGAGCCAATCTGGTTCAAGGACAAATTGAACATATAAAGAAAAGCAGTGTGGGACTGAAAAGGAGGGAAGAGAGTAAAGGAAAACTAGCTCTTCTTAGTTGGTGAAAAGCAAATATTGGCAGCTTCTAACCTTCTACACCCTGAAATGCTGGGACAAATCTTCCTAGGAGAAACTGAACTATGATTCCTGGATTTTGTTGTTGTAATTTGTACAATTTTGATATATGTCTTCTCCATATTCTGGTAAGACAAATAGTTTTCTGCAGCTTTAGAAAATTCAGAACTATCATATGAGACAGGTTTATGACCCAAATGAAGCCAATTGCTGTGTAATACCATTTTTTGCTATAAGAATACCAGGATAAAATATGGTGCAAGGCACTGATATTATCTCTATCAGCATAGTTAGAAGTGTCAGTGGGGGTGGACTTTCTGAAACAAGGAGAACTCAAAGTGAATATTATTCTTTGAAAACACAGTGCAGCAATAGAGTCTGTGAAGGAAAGTGCACAGGGCATCAAAGACATGGATGAAAGTCTTTCTTTGCAATAAAAATAAAGCTTGTATAACTTTGTGGGAGAGGAGTGACCCAAACCTGTTGGATTTTCTATTTTTATTTTAGATTCTTGTTTTGCTTTTGCCCTTCAGAAAACTCAGTGATTTTCAGAAATGCAAGACTCTACAATATGCTAGTGAAACATAGTATGAGATTTATTCTACTGTGATATTTGCACAAAACCTGGCATGACTGAAAGAAATCATAATTTGTGCTTAACAAACATGTCTTGATCTGCCCTTTACTATGCAATCTCACCTGAAGAGAACCACAATTTGTTCAAAGTACTCATCAGCATGTCTAAAGGAGTTGCAGAGTTGGCTGACCATGTAAGGACAGTCATTGGTATTCTTTTAGAAAAATGTCACCTTAACTGCCAAGTCATGGCTAAAATAGACTTTCTGTGCAGTGAGATTTGTTAATTGCATCCCACTTATAGATTTAAACATGTTTGAATTAGTGATAAGCTAAGTATGTGCTTGCCATTTCCTCTTCTAAGAACACATTGGGAACTTACGTAATCATGTAACTCACAATATTACAGATTTTTTCATGTCTTTCTTTAGAACTGAGTCACAGGGATAGAAATTCTGCCATAGATAGACAGTTAGAAAGATTGTTCTATTTAGGAACAATTAAAAAATAGAACTGGATGTAATAAACAAATACATGGCAGGCAGATGATGCCTCAAGTTCACTACAGAATAAGACTTTATTTTAATTTATCTTGAACATCAAAAACCAGGTATTCAGGCAGCACTCATGAAAATTTAAGTCAGATAATAATTTAGTAGGGTACATCTGAACCTAAGCTGTAATAGAGATAATCTAGAGACTGATATACAATTTTCAGCCCCTATAAAATGCAAAATTAGGCAAACAAGAGTAATATGAGCCATTTCTTTTCCCCTCATTTGCTAAAAAGCAGTATGAACCTAGGAAGCTAACCTCAGTTTAATAGCTAATAAAAACTGTGGATTTTTATTAAATGTTTTTCTGTCTCATTTCTTTCTGCTCAATTAATAATTTAAACAATATATAATTGATAATAAAGTTTATCCAGTTCCTACAAAGCCAATCTAATAAACTGTATCTCAGCTTGTCAGTTTTGCTTAGACATGTGTCCACCTAAAATGGTGGTGACATTCCATGCTTTTTTCTAGCCAGGTAAAATTTAGAACTAGAATGGTATCATAGACCCATCTTTAAACATATTCAAAGACTGATTTCTCTAAATTCATCCAGTATCATACCACTTGACAATCTACAAACTTAATAGACTTACACATTGTTGATAACTTATTAGAAAGGCTCCATCTGCATTAAGATTTGGACAATCTAGCATTTCATTTTCATGCATGCCAAGAGAAATATACTTACCTTTCTGAAGCATCGTTTTCACAGACAAGGTTAATACTAATTTAATTCACTTTAATAGTAATCT